ACTACTATATATATATATATATATATATATATATATATATCCCCAGTTTATTTGTCGCGCCCTCCTCTTACAGGTCTAGCCACAATCCCCAGACTCAAATACTTGAACAACTAGCCTGTGATTTTCTCTGTGGTTGTCGATGCCGCCGTGCCTCCCTTCTTTGCCACTTCCCTCTCGTTTTCCTTGGTATTTGTATTTTCGTCTACCCAACTCATACATGTCTCAAAGTATTGAATGTCACTACACTTTTTTTCGCTCTTCGAGTGTGCGTTTTAGCTGTTTCAAAGCAATGTTGTACCTGTTTGCCAAGGTTTCACTGCCGTCTCCCTTAAGCGACTGCCCCTTTAAGAAGAGGGTCTTTGCCCTCTCAAGGTTACCGCGACGATACTCCATCTCGCCTGTTTCATAGTAGGCGTATGGCAAGATCATTGAATCACTTGGCACACGCTTTTCGTTTGCAAATATTTTATTCATGCTCTCCATCGCCGCATCAAGACGGTCGCATCCCTTGTGAATGACCCCCACAAAAAGGGCAAACATGTTCTCCGCCTCAGGGCAACTCAAATCTTTTCCCTCTGTCACTCGCCGCAACTCTTGCAAGACACGCTCTGCCTGTTCAACCTTCATATGCGCAAGATCGCGATTGATATACAGCAGGTATACACCGCAAAGCGGTAATAAACGGGGGTTTGCTAGCACGCGGGACGCAAACTTCGGAGAGTTGGCGTCGTTCTTTGACCTGGAGTTGTACATGGAACCCACCTTCTTTAACCATTGAAGTGCCTGAGCATCCTCTCCCAGCATAACAAGGCAGGCGGCAAGTGACAAAACCACCTGTCCTGTATATGCAAAGTTCTCTTTCGTTTGAGCGAGATGATTAAGCACGGCCGCGTATCGATCTTTCGCCTCCCCAAAACGAAGGTCCATAAAAAGTGTATCGGCGTGTAAATAACGAATCAAAATTGGTACCAATCCAACCCGCTCAGCATTTCTTTCGGCTCGCTGAATAGCCGCCAAGGCCTCTGCTGTCTCGCCACGTTTTCTGTGATAAAAGTTGGAGTAGCCGTGAAAATATGTGTTTTGCTCATACTTTTTATTCATCGCATCCAATATACGCTTCGCCTTCGCAAGCGTCTCCTCTACGCGGCCAATACCCGTTGGAAGGAAAAGATACAACGTACACAGGACCAGCGCCGCAAACGGAGAGCGCACCCCGTTGCTCTCAAACACCTCCGTAAGGTATTGCTCACCAAGTTCCCTGTCGGATATAAAGCCAATAACATTAAGCAGTCGCATCAAATTGGCCGGTACAAGGGCAAGAAACGCATAAAACGCTCCGGTCCCGTACTTTATACACATTTTCAATTCGTTAGGAATTTGATTCGTTTTATCCGCAGCAATGACATGAATTAATTTATGATAAATGCCCCATGTCCTGCGCAAATTGATGCCACCCTTTAGGTAGGAATTCATCATCAGTTGGCACACAGAACGCATCAGCAGCGCATCCGCATAGATCACTTCACATTCCAACTTCCAGACATCGACGAAAGTCTGTCCAGCCTTTTCAGCTGCCTTTCGACGACTATTAAAGTTTTTTTTGCTGATTTTCCGCTCTGCCTTACTAGGCACGCTTATGGAAGCCCCCGACCCATCAACGTCATCTGCATCGTCGTCAAACTCGAACATGGGATCCGTATACTTTGCGGTGGAAGCCAACGAATCTGCCACCTTGAACAAACCAAGAATCACCTCTCTGCTTTCATTCGTAGAGTTCATGAGTGTTTGAACGAGATACTTGTTTGCATACTCAAGGGCGTAACGCGGGTGAAGTTCCTTGTAGGGGGCAAGAATTTCATCCGCCTCGGAGTATTGGTTGTTCCACATCATGTCAACTGCATCCTCAATGCGGTAGTGAAACTTCGGAACATCGTTACTTGTTGACGATGATTCTGTTGGAACTCTTACCATATTTTTTTTATTATTAGTTTCTCTTTTTTTGTTTCGTTTTTTTTCTTTTTCCTTCTCTGTGTATGTGTCTTTTTTTTTTTGCGCTTTCCTTCCCCTACTTATTCTCTTTCCTCTCCGCCAAACCCCACTCCTAGCGGCAAAGAGAGAAACCACAAGAAAAAAAAAAGGCATCCTTCCTAGTGCCTTCCCTCCTCCCCACGCATAGGCACAACTCACAAAGCCTCTCCCACCCTTTTTTCATCAATATACATATATGTGTATACATCGGTACACACATATTAATGAAAAAAGAGTAGTCATATTGAATTTGGAAAGAAAAAAAAAACCCGGCACAAACGACACTTTCTCCCACTCCCTACTTTCACAACAATGCAATGAGCCAAACTTTTTTTTTTTCTCCCTTCCTCCCCCTTCTTCCTTCCTTCTTTTTTTTTGTTGTTGTTGCTGTTCTTTCCCTTTGTCTGTGTACATATTTTTCGATCTATTCTTTATTCACCTTGGGTTTGTCATTGAGGTTCTTTGTTGGCTTCAAATAAAATGGCACGATGAATCCACCTCACGCCCACCCCATCTTACTTGCGAGTCATACATGCACCTTTTGTCTGTACCTATCCCCTAACTACTTTCTGCCACCGTTCAACTTCCGCGGCGTGGAAAGCGTCAGTGACTTCAGCTTGCTTTTTTCAAGGAACAAATCGGCGTAGCGCAGGCGCTGCTCCTCCACATACTCTATAGCCTTAAGACGTTGAGCTTCCTCCTCGTATGCAGCATCTGACGTAACCTGATCCAATTCTTCAATGGCGTCTTGGCACTCCTCGGATAATGCCTCGGCCTTACATCTAAGCGCGACAATGACGGCCTCCTTTTCATCTCCAACCAGGTCTAACAAGCCAATGGACCTTGATAGCCTATCTTTCTCAGTGACGAAAAGATTGTAAATGGCTGGGTGACATCTTTCTTGCGTGGGGTTGATCTTGTCGGCGTCGTACATATCTTCCTCATTACAAAGCGTCATCAATTCACCTTTAGACGCCCAGGTCCCTGACAATGCCGCATCCACAGCACGTGAAAGGTGATTGTTCTGTAGTGCCTTTTCAATGCACTCCAGACGATGTTCCAACTGCTCAATGCGGTAGTTCTGCGTCTTGATAACACGTTCTTGCCGCTGACGAGACTCTGCCACCGTGCCAGAAATCTCACTCCTTATTTCCGCGATACCCTCTTGACTGGTATTGGCAATAAGGGCCGTAGACTCCCGTGTGGCCATGAGCTTGCACAATCTGGCATCAACGTCGTCGTGTTCAGCGACCAGGGCCAACAGTGCTTCCTTCTCACACTTTAAATCCCGATCGATAACACGAATATCATTGTTCAAGGCGTTAATCTCGTCACGAAGTTCCTGACGTTGCCGTGACGTATTTGCCATCTCAAGAAGCGACTCCTCCTTCTTCTTGATGAGTAGTTGCCCCGTCCTGATTTCCTTTGCAATAAGAGCCTTTCTCGACGTCAATTCTTGAAGACTTACATCAGTGTTGTTTTGGAAAAGGAGCGAATTGCGCCCGTTTGCTTCTTCCTGAGACTTTGCCTTCACCCCAGTAGTGTCCTCGAGCTCCTTGGTGTTCTCTTGCACCTTGGCACAGTTCTTCCCCTCCGCCTTGATGCGGCGGTTAAGCTCCTTCACCTCGTGCAACAATGTCTGGTTGTGCTCCGAAATAGCCTTAAAGGCCAACTCAAACTGCATTAGAACACTTCCGACGTGTGCAATGGGAATGGTACGCAGGTCCCGACGGGGTTTGGGACCGCAGTACTCAAGAACAGGAAAGATGGCGGAAAGGTCATTCGCATCTAGCGCGTCATGCGACAAGCACAGCCCCTGCTCCAGCTGAGTCCTACGATGTCGCAGCTCCTCCAACTCCTTTTGACGGAGAGCCACAGCAAACTCCAGCTCCCTCTTTCGCTCAACCTTGTTAGGTCGCATCCTGGTTTTTCAATAAATGACAAAACTAGTCCACCCATCAACGCAGCCAAAATGAAATTGTGAGTAACCAAATACAAAACCAATCGGCAAGACCAAAAAAAAAAAAAAAATAGTAAAACCAAATTTTTGCCCCTTCAGCGGAGGGGCATGTCTGTCACCACCGCCACTTTCGCCTCCGCGGCGTAAACACACTGCATCAAGACAACACCAAAACCAACAATAGACTCACACTCGCTTCGATATATTTACCAGCAAAACCTTGTTGCTTCGAAGCACAACCGTTTATCTTGACGTGAAAAGCGGCAAATTAAATTTTGCGTGAGACACAAGCGTCCCATCCCTGTCGAGCGTCGCGTACCCCTGGGGATCGTAACCGTCCGGATTGAAGTATCGCCGCACCGTCGGATCTCCATGCTGCACGGACGTATGAGGCGAGATCACACTGCTAAAGCCGTCGCCCCGGTCGTATTGCCTAAGAGCGGGATCGAGTGAGTGCTGCACCTGCCTCCAGCGGTTGTAGTTTTGGCCATCGTGAGCAAACCGCACATTGTCGCGAAGAAACACCGTCACATTTTCTCTCCCATACACAACTCCCATCTAAGTGTTATATACTACGTCGTCCGACAAGTAGTTGAGCGCGCTTTCAACATCTCCCCTAGCTAGAAGGTCCACGTAGTGTGTCACGATAAGCTGTGATGTCGCCATCCCTCCTTCAGCATAACCCTCCCTCCTCATCTATAGCACCGCAACCCAAAGTCCCTTGCAGGGAAAAGAAAAGGCGGCAAGGCTGGATAACGCGTAGAACACCACAGTCTAACACGCAGCAAACCAATAAAACAACCACTGTAGTTATATTTATGTTTATTCAATTACTTTCTGCGTCATTCATGTTCCATTTTCCTCTCCTCCTCTATTCCCCATCCATTGCTTGTTTCGGACTTCTATTCGGGTTGCTGCCTAAAGACCAGACCCCATCGCTCTTCCGATCAACCTAGATCATCACCGCCTTTTGTGCCATTAAAATTCCAACAATCACAGCAAATATCCCAAGGGCAGAGGCAAAGATCTCAATCACTAGGACCTTCACGAAAAGGGAACTGCTGTGTGCATCCGCAATGGCGCAGCTGCTCCCGACAACCCCAACTGCAACACCACATGACATGTTTCCTATCCCGACTGCTAAACCTGCAGCAAATAGAGTAAATCCAGCTGCAGCAGCTTTATAAGCGTACTTTCCAGTTTCGTCAATTGCATTGGCCTTTGCCTCCAGTTTCCCCATCATGATAATCGATAAGATAACGCCGTAAATGGCCACGGCCTCACAAAAGATAATTGAGATTAAATTCTTGCTGCGTATCTCCGGCGCACGAATAGCTGCTCCACTGATGGAAGCTGCTGTCGTCAAGATTCCCCAGGCGGCGCCGATGATAGAGAGTGAGATACCAATCCCTATTCCCACTGACCCCCATGCGTAAGGCGAAACCCCCGACAACACATCCCACAGTGCAAAAAAGGGCGGAAACACCGTACCGCACAGGGCAGGAACAATACCAAAAACGACAACCAGAAATATGAGGATGTAACGAACAAGTCCCCAGATGACATCAAGCGCCTCGTCGGGTGGCAAGCGCGAGGGTTGCGGCAACACCTCAGGCTCAACGGGCATTGACTCCCTCTCCAAAAGGAAAACGGGGGGAAAAAAAATGTCCTACTTGCCAAAAATTGAATCTATTCACACACAATATTATTATTATTATTATTAAAAAGCCACACACGCACATGCATAAACAAAAAAGAAAAAAAGAGACAACATGAAAAAAATTCTTCAACAAAACTTAGTACCACGCACAACACAAAGACGATACTGTAAGAGAAGTAAAGCCAAAGCTGCACAAAGAGCAGATGAGATAACGAGGAAAGCAATTAAATTGTTTCTGTTACCCTTTGTGTACAAATAGTAACATGGAAAACAAGAAAACAAAAACATAAAATAAAATAGGGTGGCGTAGGAAGACACAAAAAAGCCCACAGGGTGACACTAACGCTTGCGCAGGAACACCATGCGGTTGTTGCGGCGCCATGCAGCACGGACAGACGGGCGCAGCTTCGAAGCCTTGTGACCCTTGTGGCGCAGGCCGCGGTGCTTGCGACCGGCCGACGTGAGGCCGCGCTGTTCACGGTGCTTGTGCACCGCATTCACGATCCAGTTGATGCGTGGGTCGCGACGAATCGTGCGGTGCATCGGGTCCACCGCGACCACCTCGTACCAGAGGAAGGTGGAGTCGGCATTCACCCAGTACGAGTTCAGCACGCGAAGGTTGCCGTACTTCTTGCCAAGCCGCTGCTCCGCAATGACGCGGTTGTTCTTGTTGAGCTTGACCCCCAACACACCGCTCGTCTTGGGCTTGCCGTACGTAATGCCCTTGTGCACCGGGCGCTTGCGCCCACCGCGGCGAACACGCACACGAAACACGGAGTACCCCTGCTTCGTCTTGTATCCCAGCATACGGGCCTTTTCGGGGCGCGTCGGCCGGCGCAGACGAACAATGGTGTGTTGGTGACGGAATTCCCACGCCCGGACGCGCTGGATGAAGCGCATCACATCGGAAGACTTCTTCTTCCACAGCTCGTTCAGGTACATAAACGCCCCCATGGTTGGTCCTCTACGACTGCATAGCAAGGCGGCGCCAGTTACACAAAATCAACAGTATAGATAAGTAGAGAGGATAAAAAAAAAAACAGTAATAACACAAAAGCAGCGTCAATCCACATTATTCCTCCACCAGCAATAAAATGAAAAAAAAAAATATGTATAACTGAAGGCCAATTACATATGATAAAAAAACTGGCAATTGAATAGACATCTTCACGTTCCAGGGTCACCATGCATGCCCCAGCAAACTCTTCATCTGCTCTACAAACTCATGAATCTCGTTTAGACGGGATCGATGACGACTCTGTTCCTCGCTCAAAATGCGGGTTGAGCGCTCCCTAAGAAGCTTATCTTCATTGTTAACGTAAATCTGTTCAAGCTCCTCCAAACGCTTTCGTCGAAGCTCAAACCAATCACCCAAAATCTTTTGGTACTCTTCCTTGTTGTCAATAATTGCCATGACACTTTCGTCCTGTTTGGTGTGGTGGTAGGGCTCTGCCGAATTCTCCTGCTTCTGTCGCTTGTCAAAAAGCGAGTCAAACAACTGCCGGAGGGAAACCTGAAAGTCCGCCTCCATCTTCATAAAAATTTCAAACGCAGTTTGAAGCACAACATCAACGCCATCTCCCTTCCACTTTGCAATAGTTCCGGCGTTGAGAGCCTCCAAGGCATCGTATTGGTCCGCCTCCTTCTCTAAAAGTTGGTGCCGCAACTCCCGAAGACGCGTTTCAAGCTGTGCGACCACCTCAGCTGAAACTCCATCGGCGTCTGCCTCCTGCCCCCACCTGGCACGTGGAATATGGGCTTTGACCTCCTTCTCAAACTGTTTAATCACCGCCTTGCATGCATCTGCGTTTTTTTGCTTGTAACGGTCCGACGCCGCATTAAAGGCAATCTCGTCATCATCCCGCTTCGCGCGTATCGCCTTCATCGCCTCAGCAAGTTCCTTGGCCTTATCCATAAACTCTGTCTGATACTTCTCCAACAAGTCCTTGGAAAGCGACGCAATGATGTCAACTTGAAGCAACTCCGCCAGGCCACGTCCATCGGACTCCAAGTAAAAGAGCTCATCGTAAAACTTGTTCTCGTCGGGGCAGTTAAACTGCTCGTAATCCTTCCGTGCCTTCTCAGACTCCTGCTTCACCTTGGCCGCCTCAGCAGCACGCTCATCCTCCCCATCAATGGGCACCAAATTTTCCCGTTGTTCCTCGCGTGCGCTGACAATCTCCTCTGGGCGAATAACCCGGCCATCGAGAAATTGGAGCGTCGGAACAAACGCAAGAAGACGGACCTTATAGTGTGGCTGCTTCTCCACACGATTGCCCTTCAGTGTCAAGATGCGAATGCTTCGCATCTGATGCAGGTAACGAGCTGTTTCTTCAAGTCCCTCTATGCAGTTGTTCCCAAGACTCAACGACACCAGTTTCTTATTCGCCTCTAGGCCTTCAACCACCGTAATCTTGTTGGAGAACAAAGATAGGGTTTCCAGCTCAGCAAGATCTTCTAATCCACAGATTTTTGTGATCTGATTGAAACTAAGATCGAGCCACTGTAGTTTTTTCAAATGCCCCAAGTTGCATATCGTGGAGATACTGTTGTTGTCCAACGCCAGCTTTGTGAGGTTGCACAGCCCCACAAGATTCTCAATCTTCCCAATGCGACGGTAGGAAGCGAGAAGTGTTGCCACCCTATATAGCTCCATCGTATCCATCGCCGACTTCACCCGCTTCTGCCGCTGACTTTCCTCTCGGGCGCCCACGAACCGCAAACGTTCCTCTTCTGTGATGCAAGTGGGCGGGAAATAAATGCAGTCGCGGATAAGGCTCTCATTGATCACCGTCTCATGCGGCTGCTTCATCACGGACACCACAGTGTACCCCTTGGACATCCTTGCGCCACGCTAGCCTGAAAAAAAAAACAAAGGCCACCACCACTCGCAACAGCAGTGCCAAAAAACACGAAAAGAAGAGGATGCACACACCAAAAAGTCTGGAAACGTTGAAGCAGGAATGCCGCAGAAGCAACCCACATGTGCAGGCAAACTGAAAAAAACAAAACCAACGAAAGAAAGAAAGAAAAAAAAAAATGGTAGAGAATACAAGAAAAAAAAAAAACTCATGACAAGCACAAATATATAAAACTTTTTTTTTGTCGTTGTTGTTCTTTTTTTTTTCTCTTATACTTTGTTTTTTATTTTTTGTTCCTCATTTAGATCGATGCCTTCCTTCACACGGGATTAAACCTGCTTCCTTCGCCACTTCAGGTAACGTAGGTTACGAATAAGAAAGAAAATCGGTGAATGCGTAAATGCAAGAGTATGAAAGAACAACATACTCTACAACAAAAAAAAAAAAAAAATCACGTTACTTTTTTGCTATTCAGCAGTAATCGTTCAGTCATCGGCTCCCGTAAAGCAAAACAAAAAACAGAAACAAAAGGATTTGAAAATGCCCTGGAACGGACACATATACACACTCATATACATATATGTAATGACACATATATGTATATACGAAGTTCCAAATAGAAATAATAGAGGGTGCTTCCTCTTAAGCAGATAAGTTAAGAGTTACCAATACAACAGACAATCGGTAATCCACTGCGGCTTGGCATCTGAGATTCTTTTTTTTTTTCAAACTCTGTGGGAGTGTTGCTGGCGGTAACACCGCACAACTCAGATAAGTCGCTGGAAACTTTGTCCATCGACACAACGGCTGTGATGGCATTGCAAACCGTCCTATACTCATCTGGTGGTACTTCTGCCCTAAAATCAAGTAAATCGGCCAAAAGCCTAAGCTCCATCATGTTAAGATCGCGGTTACTCACTCCGCCCACCTGTGCATAGTAGCTCATCGAGCAGTAGAGGTCATCCCTTGTTTTGGCCGCAACCACCATAGAAGTGAGGAGGACACGATGAATGGAACGTGAGTGTAGGGGGAAACCTAAATTTAAAAAACGTCGGATGTACGCAAGAGCGAAGATAAAGGCTTCAGAAGTGCATTTCATGTATGTTACAAGACGCTGCGCGTACTTTTCCAACGATATACCGGGCACAAACTCCGCGCAAAAAAAGTCGAAAGATGGGAAAGAGTCATTGGGAGGTGTAATCTCAGTTTCCAATGCATTTTTCGATGTACCAGCCTGCAATTCCATAATGTGCTGGACGTAGATCGTGATGATCCTCGCCATCTCCGCCTGCGCTGGCGTTCTCGACTTGGTTCGCGCCGACATAACTGTTTTTCTCATATATATATATATATACATGTATTATACACATGAAAAAAGACGCAACGACAACAATAAGGAAATACAAAAGGCAACAACAATATGACTCAGGTGAAACACATTCGTACACAGAGAAGTAAAGAACCATCGTGGAGATAATCTCACACACACGCACAGAATGAGAGACAACAAGCAATTTAAGAAACGAAAAAAAAAAAAGGAGTGAAGTGGAAACAAAAAAAAAAAACTGTCAGTAGTTTTCGTGTAGGCGTTGTTTGCTCGTGGTTTTTAACCACTCACAGTGTTTTTTTTGTTTATTCTGTTTTTCCTTTTTTGCTGTTTTACCCCCTCTTCTCTCCACACCTCTATTCATTGGCTTGACGGTCGGTCACAGAAGGCAGCGCTCACAAATCCTCACCTCAGTCCCCTTCTCTAGTGGCCACTCCCATCCCTTTAGTTATACTCCTTGGACGGTCCAAGGAACGGAAAAATGAGAGAAACAGAGAACAACAACATCCACACGAAAGAGCCTCGTCAGGAACCTTTTGCCCCGGGAACAAAAGGGGTAGCTCCAACATTAGTCCCTGGTCGGGGCTCCGCACTCTGTTGATTTACAAGCTTTTGCGCTGCTAGCTGAAAGGCACCTGAGGTCGGGGGGACTTGATACGCCGCAGGTTGGCGCGGTACTGAAGCAAGCGGGGGGGCTGGCGGATGCATCTGATACACCTGATACGGCATACTGTATGGCTGTGGCATAGCCATCACTGTAGCCGAGGGAATAAATGGTAAGGGTACACCAACAAACTGCAATGGATGCACTGCCATCCCATGTCCGGGAGGGGGAGCTGTCGCCCATCCAGAAGCGCCCAGACCAACACCCTGTGGATAAGCTATTTGTGGTGAGGATGACGCCACGGCAGCAGGATGCGGAGGGGGTTGATACATCATTTCACTCATCGGAGTAGATGCCGTAAATGGTGGTGGAGCAGCCGTAGACGCTGGAACTTCAGTCGAAGAGGACTCACGTTCCTTCGCACCATCCGTAAAAGTTCCAAATTTTAAGCTAGCGAGAATGTCATGTTTTTCCTCCTCCTTCGGCGCGAGGCTGCCCACATTGTAGGAAGATTCAGCTTCTCCCCACACGGGATCGTGAAACAGCGCAACACTCTTTACAACTTCAGGCTGTACTTGAATAGGCGCAGTCGTGTTTTTCTCTCCTGGTAAGTTAACACCCTGAACAAATTCAACATCCATCGCTTTTGCTGGTTTTGGTTCGGGAAACGATGGAGCTTTGGGTTCAGGCTCCTTCGCCGTGTTGGTTCCACTGGCAAGAGGAATACTGGTAACTGCAGGACGCTGCGTTTGTGGTGTACCTTGCTTCTCAGAGCAACGCTTCATAAGAGCAAGAATCGCATTGAAAGGGTCTTGTTTCTTCTGCTCCGGTGGCTTTTCATCATTGCTACTAGCGCTTTCAGCCTGGAACATCTCCTCATCAGAGGTTGGTGCTGTCTCGTCCGCGCGAAGAGCAGAGCGAGGTAGACGCAACTTTTCAGAAACGTCGCGAAGGTTCACGACTGGAATATCATTTTTTGTAATCCAGACGTGCACAGCGGTGTTAAGCCATAACGGAGGCTCCTTTCGACGCGTATTTTCCATTTACTATCCCTCTTTTGCCCTTCTCAAGCAGAAAACAAGCAAGAAAGGAAGGGAAGAAGAATAAACGAACACAAACCATGCAGCAAAAAAAAAAAAAAAGCAAGTTGCGAAGCGACGTCACACACTCCTTCTTCCCTTGTTGAAGGCACACACGCACACACACATGTAGGAATGCACGCATTTTAGCTATTTCAACAACTCGTTGTGGCTGTCGTCGTGTAACCCTTCTCCCCACCTTTTTGGCCCTCGTCAAGGATCACCTTAAATGGGACGAAGCCTCACCTCTGCAGTTGCTGCTGCAACCACCCACTCCCCTCCCCTCCACTATCCTCTTCGTCTTTCTTCCACCGCAAATCCCCAAGGCTAGAGATATTTGTTAATGTCTCCAACAATAGTCACTGTACGCCCGGGGAACATCCCTCTAAGCTCCGCCAGGCATTCATCACGACATTTCCTGGCGTCATTTACCAACGACTCCAATTGCGGCCCCAGTCGTTCAAGTTCCTCTTGTAGTTGTTGCACTCTGGCTTGACTGTTCTGCCTTCGCACATCTGCAGCCGCAAGTCCTCGTTTAAATCGTCGCAACTCTTCCAAGAAGGAGTAACGCAGCGTGGAGCTTGCCTTCATACGCACGAAAGCTGCCTCCGTTGATGTTGTTAGCCGCTTAATAAGTAAGCCAAGTGCCATACCATCGTGGGCAAGTGAATCATCGTC